AGCTGCAAAAAGACTTCCTTTGATTATGCTACTTTCAAACTCTCTTTTTCTATTACACACACACCACCGACACTTAGATAAGAACTCCAAAGCTGGGGAACGAAGATAATGGCCACTGTCACGGAAGCGTGTGGAAAATCTAAAGACACGTGCCACAGCCACATGCTATTATCGGACCTCCATAGCGGGATCTCTCTCTCTCTCTCTCTCTCTCTCTCTCTCTCTCTCTCTCTCTCTCTCTCTCTCTCTCTCTCTCTCTCTTGTATATAGATAGTATAATATCTAAAGACAACTCGAAATATGAATTTGATATTTCAGCCAGTCCATAGGGGAATGAATATATATATATATATATATATATATATATATATATATATATATATATATATATATATATATATATATATATATATATATATATATATATATATATATATATATATATATATATATATATATGAATACTCCGCTGTATGGGTGTATATGCATATATGTGTGTGTATATAGATGCATATAATACACATAGCATAACAAATAACATACGCTGGACACCATTGATTTCTGGCAAAGATCACTACTCTAAATAAAGCCCAGATACCAGCTAAGGTAAGAGAGATTATTAACACCAGGGTAGGACGGTGTGCGAAGCCGTAATCCAAATTAATAAAATTTAAAAATTATATTTGTATATACACACACTACATGCATTATGGGGGTTACAAAACATAAAAAAGCTTTCAAATTTCGGCACTAGGGGGTCACCTTTATGATGAAATTCTGAGAAGGATCACACCAATTAAGCAGATCCGATTAAACTGACCATACTGTGTACAACTAACTATAGCATAATACCAAAAAGCTCGAAATCGTGTGCGTGTCTCTCTCGAAATGTTTTGTATGGCGTGTTTTTAAAAATGGAGAGGCCTTGAGTCACTATGCTGCTTTGTTACAGATGTTATTATTGTCGTTGTTGTTGCTGTTGTTTGATTTTCAACAGCTACGTCAGGCATGGCAGAAGACAACAAGGGTTTCTGTTTTTAAAAGTAGTTCTGAGCGCGTGAACACCTGGACTGAGACGACTAGACTGAGATGACTAGACTGACACAAGAAAATGTTAGTAAAACAGCTAGAGTTCTCTGTTGCATGGTTGAGAAATGGTCATGTCAACACAGGGTTTCCACTATTAGACATTTTACGACATCTAGTTGGTACTAAATGAAAATTATGCCGATCTGACGATCAATATGGTCACTCTTCAGGTTAAATATTTTGTTATTGCTACTCCTCCTGAATAGATGATATCAAGAATGGGTTTTCACTAAAAGACATTTTATAATATCTTGATCTAAAAAAAAAAATGGTGCTGATATGATGTCCAGTATGTCCGCCATGCCAGACATCTTGAACATCTTTTTTGTCGATACTTGTTGGTACTCCTCCTATGTGGATGATATTATCATAAGGGTTGTAACTGAAAGATTTCCTATGATGTTTAGATGATCAAAGATGAAAATAGTGCCGATCTGACGCCCAAATATCGCCGACAAACTCTTGCTATTGCTACTCCTCAATCTATCATCGTATTAGTGTGGTTTTTCGCTTAAGGCATCAGTACAGAATTAATAAAATCCGGTTCAGTACCCACGAATGTAGTCCCAGTCTATTTTTAGACCACTTTTTTCCTGTCTCCGTTTGGTGGTGATACAAGAGTTAGATTTTGGCATTTTTGGTAAGGATTTAAAGGCAATTGTTTATTCTTTAGAATGTGAGCTTATGGTGTGGTTGTCTGTGTGTATTTCGGCGACAGTGCACATTGAGTAATAAGGTCATGGTGATGATCCGGAAGTGAAAACTGTGTTCCGTTGCATGGTGTTTTGTTTACAATTCAGCCTCTCAAAAAAAAATGCAGGTCAAACCTTGACAAGAACTTCACCGTAAAGTCATCTTTGAAGGTATTTTAGATTAACATATGATTTGTATTGATTGTTACACAGTGGAAAGTTCAGTACTGATAAACAAATGTAGAGACTATATAGTAAAATTAATTGTGTTCTATGGCCTTAAGGACTTCTTACGATGTTTAGCTGGTCGTGCATAACAGTGTTGTAGATCTGACGTCCAGGTATAACGGTACCAATTGCGCAAGTCCAGGTGGGTGGAGCTTAAGGGCATTCAGAAATAAACAACAATACTAACTGTGATTATTGCATTTTGTAAAAGTTGTACTTTCTGTTAGGCTTTAAAAAAGTTGAGCCTCTTGGCAACATGTGAGATTATGTTAGTTCCTATCTAGATCACATTTTGTATTTTTATGATTTTTTTTGGTTGAAAATTTACTACACATAACTGAAAATGTCTGTTGATACTAGATAACTCATGCCCCTGTCTAGTTGCAGCAGAGTTATCTCTCTTAAATGAAGTACCTGGTTCAGTCACTGTCAAATTGACAGTCTAACACTGTTCTCTTGAAAAGTGTGTGATGTGCATGCACAATTAGGATAGAAAATATATTTATTTCCCCAAACATCAACATTAAGGTCTATGGTAAAACAATTGGTACCATGAACCTCCAATGTGACCGCATAGCAGCCATCTTGAAAATCTTATTATCGCTACTCCTGAAGGGAAGGTCATACTTTGAAAATAGTCTTATGGTACTTACTTGGTCTTAAGTGAAAGTGGCGCCAGTCGTCCATTCAATATGACTGCCACAAAGACTGTCTTTGAAATCGCATTGTTACCACTCCTCTTGAATGATTATTATGACACGAGTATTTCACCAAAAGACGTCATACATGTTGCCTACTCTGTCCTTAAAAAAATGGTGCCATGCTGACATCCAATAGTGTACCAACCACATCAGCTGATTTTGTGCTAAGCTGACACCCAATACGTGTATCGCATCAGCTGGTTTTAAAATCTTGTTATCGTTGAAGAATATCAGAGATAGTTTCAATACTCGACAGAAAGAAAGACAGACAGAGAGAAAGAAAGAAAGAAAGAAGGAAAAAAAGAAAGAAAGAAAGATGGGAGCTGGCGTGCGAGACAAATTCGTTTTAACATTAGTTTAGAACACTATTCCAAATTTCTTCTCGTTTTTTAACATTAGTTATATTTGATATTTGATGGTAGTATAAAAGACGTATGATGATTGATATGTAATATTTGTTATTATGTGCTCATATTTTTCCGTTAACTTTACACTGACAGAATCGTTCAATATTCCCCGATACTGAACACCTTCATATTGTACTCCTCGCGCTTGATGCACGTGAGCGCGCGGTACGCTATGAAAAGAAAAAGGTCGGTGGGCGGAGATATACGCGCATGAATACTATTATTGTGTATTGAAGGAATCTACGATTGTGAACTTTATTATTTTAAGAATAAAATAATAAATTTTATTATTAAATATATTTGGTTGTGAATTTTATTAAGTTTTTGGTAATGAAATACAAATGAGCATACAATAAAAAGGTTACTGCATTTGAATGAAACAATATGAATTCGTTTTTTTTTTCGGATGGATATAATGCCCTCCAAAGGTTGTGCAGTGTAGCCATCCGAAAAACTCGTTCATATTTTCCCCATACAAATGCAGTAACCTATAAATATTTGATAGTAGTATAAAGGACGTGCGATGATTGCCGTGTAATATTTTATATATGATAGCAGTAAAAAGGAGATGCTATGATTGCCATGTAATATTAGATATTATTATATGCTCATCTTTTTTCACCGTTAATTTTACATTGTCAGAATCGTGCCATATTCCACGATACTGAACACCTTCATACTGCACCCCACGTGCAAAGGAACTATTTTCTAACGTAAACAATTTTGTTATGAATGAACTAAAGCAGATATTTCAAGGACGGCCACATACCAGCAAATGTTTCATAGACTGTCATACAAACTGCGTTGACACATAACGCTTTTACTATTTTGATACAAATGTTTTAGATTTAGCTAGATATAGACGCTATACAGGGTCATCACAATTAAACGTAAGTTATACACAAAAACTGTCTTCTTTAGCTGTTAATAAAAATGGCCAAAAATATACTTAACACTTTCACTCCACGCGCTTGATGCACGTGAGCGCGCGGTATGCTATGAAATTTAACGGTCGGTGGTGGGAGGAGCTATATGCGTATGAATGCTATTAATTGTGCATTGAAGCAATCTACGATTGTGAACTTTATTATTTTAATTATAAAATAATAATTTTTTTATCAAATATAATTGGTTGTGCATTTTATTATTAAATCTTTGGTAATGAAACAAGAATAAGCATATACTAAAAAAGTTACTGCATTTGAATGAAAAAATATGAACTCGTTTTTTTTTTCGGATGGATATAATGCCCTCCCAAGGTCGTGCAGTACAGCCATCCGAAAAACTTGTTCATGTTTTCCCATACAAATGCAGTAAACTATAATTACAGTTTGAAAAATATAAATTATGAAAAGAATATTAAGAGAACAAATCTAAAACAACACATTAGTATAGTATTTTTTTGTACTACGACCGTTGCATTTGTCGTTGTCAAAAATTGGCCGATAAAACCATACATATAACAGTTACTCAGAGCTAGATATATAATGCTATCTACGGCCAACTAAAGAGAACATCGTAATGTTCTAAATTATTGGGAACAATTTTAAATGTATTCATGTGTTAATTACATTTTAACATCAGATTTAAAAAAAAACATAGTTTTTATTAATTTTGTATTGTAACTTGTTTTAACCTTCTAGTTAACCGAGATAAGTATTTCAAGAGGTAAAATTACATCACTGTAAAAAGATGAAATGACTTCACTGTAAAAATATTATCTCACTCTAAAGAGATTACCTCGCTGTAAAGAGATTATATGGCATAAAAACTATTAAACATTTATTATAATTATATTTTATGATCTGACAGTGATGACTGTTAACAGTTACAAACACAGTGGGTCTTAGATTTAGTCAGAATCAACTAAACTGGACAGAACAGACCGCTCCGGTGGCCTAATATTTTAGAGCGTCCGCCTCTGATGCGGGAGGTCGTGGGTTTGATCCCCAGCCAAGTCATACCAAATATTTACAAAAATAGTATTAACACTTGCCGCGCTTGGAGCTCAGCATTAATGGGTTAGTGTTAGGACTGGTCGACCTGGTGTCAGGAATCAGGATAATGTGAATGGGTGGGACATCATTCTACGTGCATGCGGCAAAATGCCCCAGTGCTAGACATCACTATAAACTGCCAGACTGCAGACATCCTAGTGATATGACTGAAACTTTGTTAAAGCTACGTTAAAAATCAAAATCACACACACACACACACACACACACAGAGTGCAGATGGAAACAGCTGGATCTAGAAAATACAACTATTTGTTTCAATTGTTCAAGATTCATAAAATGTTAAGGCATGGCTGTGATTTGGATGAAAACATGACTTAAGAGTTCAGGAATATATTTCAGATTCCAAAGATAAACTAGACTTCGCTGTGTTTTTTTTTTTTTTTGTGGAGGTGGCATATCTTCATTTTCTGGCAATTTTTTTTTTTTTATGAAAACCGGCAACATTATTGGATAAAACACGAACTTAAAAAATAGCTTTAAACTAGAAGTGAACAATTTTATAAATAACAACGTTATAAAAATAAGGTTTTAGCATCTAAGAGACAGTCTGTAACAATGCGATAAAAATATACATTAAAATGAAATAACAAAACGTACCTAAAACTTTACAGACAAGAATTACATGTTGTTAAAAAGATGTAATTGTAAACGCAATCGGTTTAAAGACATGCATAATTAAACCAAAAAAAGAAACACTCGTTTATATTTATACTAATGGTTGTAGGAGCTGGTATAAATCCCTTTTTATGAACTTACAGCCTTGTGTGTGTATGCGTGTGTGTGTGTATGCGTGCGTGTGTTTGTGTATACGTGTGTGTGCGTGTGTGTGTGTGTCCAGTACTGTAATCAGTAGGCAAACTAATATTAGAATAAGTAAAAAACAGCGTAATATGGTTACTTTATTTAACGGTGTTAGTTAAATCATAATTTCTTGCATTTTAATTTTAATTTTAACTTTAGTTCATTTTTAATATCTTTCTCTGATAGTCGAAATTTGCATTTAACGAGCAACTTCATTGGCGTTTTCTAGCACAAACGTTTCATATCCTTTCTCATTGATTATGCAATATTTGTTTAACTATTCCTTCTTTGTATCTTTGATACTAAAAGACATATTTTTAACAAATGGTTCTTCATTTGTATCTCTTATTCCAAAAGACACCGTTTTAACAATTTCTTCTTCGTCTTCAGCTTCACGAAGAAAACCTAATTATGAAAACTTCGTCCAGTTCACGCAAGCATTAACTTGAACTAATGCCTCCTTCTTAAATTACTCTACATAGTTCGTTCTATTCCGTCGACATTTATTTTAATAACTACATAATTGTTTTCTGTTGTACTTCCACTTGGTATCGGATGTTAACTGTAGGCAAACGGATAATTCGGTGGGGTTTTTACTTTTTTGTTTATGCTTCTGAGCCTGAAAGTCTAGATTTATTCTATCCTGGAATTCATAAGTTATTGAAGAATATGGAACCATTCTTTCTTTAGGTTATTTTAAAATAGTTCAGTTGCTATTTTTAGCTTTATATAACTAATCACATATTGTTTTGTTTATGTGCAGTTCAAGCCTTTACTTTTCTTTCAGTAAAAAATGTGTTCGGGGTGGTGGTGGTGGTGGTGGTTTATAATCTACCTGATATTCTTACTTTGTCTTCATAAGTATAATAAAATATTAAATTGAATATAATTTCTTATCAACTGATAGTGGTCCTCAATTGGTAAACCACTAATGATTTTCATTTTATAATGAATGATTAGTTCTCTTTTCCATTTTAAAATAAGTGAATTATTCTGATTTAAGATTAAATGGTGGGTTCAGAAGACTCACTAGATGAACTTGTCAATCCAATGACCTTGAATTGCCGCACCATGAATTTATTTCTTGCAATCGTAATGGTGATTTTCATATATGACCGAATGATTGTCTACCACCTGCAATTTTCACATTCAAAATTGCAAAAGAACGGCACACGACTTACACCTATATTAAAGAATACCCCCCCCAACAAAAGGAACCATCCTAAAAATTAGTATAGCAAATGGAATAATAAAAGAGATAACTGGCAAAAACATAATTGAGGTGGAACAAATTGACCAAGAATAAACAAAGAAAACATGAAATATTGACGCAGTATCAGATGCAATATCAACTAAAGTATTGAAATTTTTTGTCAGATTTTGTTATCGTGAGAGCAAAATCTTCATTCAATGCAGTTATATCCATTGACGATTTAAATAAGCTACAGAATTAAAATGAAGATTACATTAGGTACTTCAAATGGTTTTAGTTTTAGGGAATTGGGTTTGAATGCTGCCAATATTTTGTTAGATTATTGCAGAAGACCCACCCAGGCTCGATTATGGTTCAGAAGTTTGGCTAGTGAATGTTTTGCTGTATATCTCTGAGCCCCCAGTCAGCAATGCTGACTATTAAAATGATAAATGGTACAAAGGGTGAAATTCAATAACAACAATTTAATTAACTAACAATAGTCAATCACTCGAATTTCTCAAATTTCTCTGGACTCTTTAAGCCTATTACATTTGTGATTTCTAGTGTGAGAGTTTTCGTCCTGTCCTTGGATTTTACTCATCTCCCGATTTCTCGTCGTCTCATATAATTCCCTCTAGGTTTCTTCTCCTACTCCTTCTCTTTTCGCTCCTCACAGACTACATTCCTCCTCCTCTATTTCCCTCGTCTATCCATCGACTCCAACTTGCCGACTCCGACCGTACCGACAGTCAGTCCCTCTGTCTGTCTGTCTCTGTCTGTCTGTCGCTGTCTCTCTCTCTCTCTCTCTCTCTCTCTCTCTCTCTCTCTCTCTCTCTCTCTCTCTCTCTCTCTCTCTCTCTCTCAGAGAGACTCGGGACTTCTACCTCGGACTGGAAGTTGTCCCCCAAAAGTTTCCTGTAAAACACAAGGATGGTACACTATTTTTTTCTCGGCGCTCACACCTCACACTACACATCATCACATAAGGCTATCAAATTTCATCGGTCACGTATACATTCACACCGAAATACGCATACACTCTTGTATGGTACAACAAAATAGAATAGCACAACATAGTAAAACAACATCATATAAGCACGATATCAACTAGTCGTATACATACAACGATAATTGATTCACATCAGTACAAACTCATAATTCGATTATACTCACAATAATCAGACGCATACCTTTACATCACAACTCATACCAAAATATACAAATATTCATATATTTATGCCCTGATATATTCAAACATCGTTTTTTTTCTAGTCAATGGTAACATACGCATACTCTTTAATGGTAAAATACAATATAATAACACAACATAGTAAAACAACATCATACAAGCACGATATCAATTACTCCTATACATACAACGATAATTGATTCACATCAGTACAAACTCATAATTCGATTATACTCACAATAATCAGACGCATACCTTTACATCACAACTCATACCATAATATACAAATATATATATATATATATATATATATATATATATATATATATATATATATATATATATATATATATATATATATATATAATTATAAATATATACCAGACAGAACAGACTGTGCTATCCCTGGATTCTGTAGTAGAATCTTGATAATAGTGGGCAGAAATAATAGTTTAATACAAACAATACTATCATACAGGTTAGAGAAATTAAATTCGTACTCTACCGAGTTTCGAACCCAGGTCCGCGAGTAAATGGCACCCATCGCCTTGCCTGCACGCACCAACCCATATACCGTCACGACTAAGCACGCATCACCAAAAAATGATGGCACTGAATCGGTGTTATATAAGCTCGTACGTAGCAGACACACTCGCATGACGACCTAGTAATTAATTCTCATATATATGTACACAGTCGTTCCAGATTCCTATGAAAGAAATCAAGGTATATAGGATTTTTGTATTACAAATAATTATAAATATATACCTTGATTTCTTTCATAGGAATCTGGAACGACTGTGTACATATATATGAGAATTAATTACTAGGTCGTCATGCGAGTGTGTCTGCTACGTACGAGCTTATATAACACCGATTCAGTGCCATCATTTTTTGGTGATGCGTGCTTAGTCGTGACGGTATATGGGTTGGTGCGTGCAGGCAAGGCGATGGGTGCCATTTACTCGCGGACCTGGGTTCGAAACTCGGTAGAGTACGAATTTAATTTCTCTAACCTGTATGATAGTATTGTTTGTATTAAACTATTATTTCTGCCCACTATTATCAAGATTCTACTACAGAATCCAGGGATAGCACAGTCTGTTCTGTCTGGTATATATTTATAATTATTTGTAATACAAAAATCCTATATACCTTGATTTCTTTCATAGGAATCTGGAACGACTGTGTACATATATATGAGAATTAATTACTAGGTCGTCATGCGAGTGTGTCTGCTACGTACGAGCTTATATAACACCGATTCAGTGCCATCATTTTTTGGTGATGCGTGCTTAGTCGTGACGGTATATGGGTTGGTGCGTGCAGGCAAGGCGATGGGTGCCATTTACTCGCGGACCTGGGTTCGAAACTCGGTAGAGTACGAATTTAATTTCTCTAACCTGTATGATAGTATTGTTTGTATTAAACTATTATTTCTGCCCACTATTATCAAGATTCTACTACAGAATCCAGGGATAGCACAGTCTGTTCTGTCTGGTATATATTTATAATTATTTGTAATACAAAAATCCTATATACCTTGATTTCTTTCATAGGAATCTGGAACGACTGTGTACATATATATGAGAATTAATTACTAGGTCGTCATGCGAGTGTGTCTGCTACGTACGAGCTTATATAACACCGATTCAGTGCCATCATTTTTTGGTGATGCGTGCTTAGTCGTGACGGTATATGGGTTGGTGCGTGCAGGCAAGGCGATGGGTGCCATTTACTCGCGGACCTGGGTTCGAA